TGACGTCATTCATCTGTTATTGGGGAGGGTAGTGGTGCGTAGCGGTGGGTTAGTGGTTGTGGGCACAACCACTCGATTGGCGATGAAACGTTTGCAATCAGATTGCCCAGCTCAGCGAACAAACCAACGACCAGCTGTAGAAGTGCTTCTCGGTTTTTCAGCGTGGACTGGTCTCAGTGACAAGAGGAAACCAGCCCCCATTTAGATAATGTTAGCCTAGAGAAGTTAGTTATTTTTGCGATACATGTGCCTCCACTTCTTTTGTTCATTCACAAACCGAGGCTGTGATTTCACTTGTGACCACGCCTGTCGGAATCCGTAGCTGAACCCTGGCCAGCTGGAGGCACCTGTAACGCAAAACTAAAGCGACAAATTGGCCCAGTCAACCAACGGTATTAGGAACAGATATGTAGATCACAATTAATGTTGCAATATTATTGTGGCATCCATCTGGCTAGAGCTACCAATAAAGACGTTTCTGCGGCATAGCGCATCGATTATTCGAATCAGCGTATTCGGGAATGATTCAAATTGCTGAAATTCTACTCATCACCACTGCTGCCAGGATAGTGCAAAGCTGAGAGGCCAGCGTGGCTTACTTGCACCATAGACTTACAATACCGTTAGGCCAGTCTATCACTTTGCATCCTACAGTGGACAGGGCGGCCCCATATACCTCGGAGGCGTTTGAGAAAAGTCAGGTGCTTGACTGATAGTTGTTTCACGACTTGGTCTATTCCAGCAGCGGGACTGAGACGTCTTCAGGTGTTCGACAGTCGTTGTCTCAGAACCATAGCTCAAGTGGGTTGGTGTCGGCGAATCTGTAACGAGGCAGTTAGAAAGCGTGTTTTCGGTTGTGCAACGGGTACTTCCATTGAAGAATGTGTCCAGCGCCGGAAGCTGCGTTGGTTGGGACATGTGTTACGTATGCCGAAGAGAGTACTGTTTTCCATGCCCAATTCAGAGTGGCGTAAACAGAGAGGTGGTCAGCCCATGACCTGGCAGAGGAGTGTGAAGGGGATCATGAAGCGCTTGGGTGTTGTCGGTGCTACTCGCCTTCCAGGCTGGGGACAGCCTGATCCCCGCTGCGCCCGGTTCGAGACACTACAAGATATGGCTGATAACCGATGATGATTCACGTATTTTGGTTTGTAGAATCCGCACGGCTCCTGTGTACATTACCACCAACCCAACTGCCGTTAGACGTGGGCGCAACAGTGCATGTGGATGTATCGACAGAAGTAGCATAGTTAGGTCAGGTAAGGTCTGTCTGGTAAAACTAGCCTAACACTTTCCATCGTACAGCGTTACCATAGATTTCAAAGATGAAGGTACCATTACTGAATGAAAAAGGAGGAAATACAACAGTGTGAACATGACAAGGTACATTACAATGAGTCCAGCTTCTGTGATGTTTGTCACACTCCAATACAACGATGTCAATGTGCTAACAAAATGTCACTGGTGGATTCTATCAACAAGTCAACTTTCATTTTCCCGAGAAAACTCTGAGTAACGGGTTAGAAATGTCCTAAAACAACCGGATTTATCCTAACGGATTGCAAAAGGTGAAAACAACGGGTTCCATGTAGATCTAGCCCCAAGATAAAGTATTCCCCTCGAAGAGACATTTTGGCACCCAAAAAGCACTTCCTCTAGGAGAATAACATACTTCAGCGGGGTTGGTGACATATAAAACACGGTTTCAGATATTAGACCTCGATTCCCATACACAAAAGCAAATAAATTTTGTGGAACGGATGTTATCCAAGAGGAAGTAAGTACAAAGAACGTTCTGGACAAATATGAGACCTCAGAACAGTTTTAACCATCAGACCTGTCAATGACGGATGAGGCTAGTATGAGTCTGTTAGTTTCTGTAAGCTCACCACCTGTTCTTAATACTGCTTCAGGCCCTGGACTCTTTGGTTCCAGATCCGGCAAAATCATCTTCCATATGGAAATGCCACACTGGTAATGCATTCTACCATTTGCCAGAATATCCGGATCACCGAAAAAACAGCCCGTGTTTCTGGTGCTTCCCATAACATCCGGTTATGCCTTGACTAGACTTGATTCACCAGTGGTGTCGAACACTTGGTAGAGTTGAGGTGTGAAGGGATGATGCAGAAGATAGGCGATGGGGCAACACATGATAACACATCATCCAAATTCCAGTGGATCCCCACAACAAGATCCTTTTCGTTCTTGGTTTTGATTTGAATTTGCGTGATCGAACCACCAGGACAACTTGATGGGTTCGAAATGACCGCGGAATAATTTTGGACTGTGACCGAAAGTGGTGGTGTTGCACAGGGGCCATGAAAATGGGTTCGTTCGTTCGTTTAGATTTCCCCCACAAGAACACATTTCACTTGTACAGTTCAACCCGTAACATGCTTAGTTCCCATATGGGTTCAGAGCAACATTGGACGGCTGAGTGGAACCCAATAAGAATAAAGTACCTCAGTAAAGAGACTCCAAACTTTGATTTTGACAAGACGATGTACAATCACCTAAGGTCCCCGTTTGCTTTAATTTTCAAATCCTCAATCGAACGAGAAGGTCGTCGTGGAGTTTACAGATGGGTGCTTCAGAATGTCCAGCAATTTCAGCTATCCATTTAGAAGCAGAACAAAACACTGATTAGCCACACGAGGGACGAAACCGGCAGACAGGGCTGTCGAAATGTTTTCAGTAAGCTTCTGAGTAGAATGTTATGCCAGGAAAATATTCGTTGGCTGTATTTCTCGCTTATGGTATTATTAAACCCATGTGTCACATAACGGCCACAGTGTGTTTCATTCACGCGTGAAAACGCGGTTCACAGACAGTATGAAGGGTACCGTTATCGGAGTTAAGTTTTGGTAATATACCGAATGACACCTGGGAAATCTTTAAAAGCCGCTCGGAATGGATTGTGGTTGTATCACTAGAGTAGAGTGATCACCTTAGGATCTCTACAAAATATGGCAACTCACCTGAGCGGGTTACATAACCGTAAGAAAACGCTGTAGGCGATAAGCCTACAGCAGCCTGTTTCATGTCAGGATTGCATCATGAAATTACCGTCAGAAAGTACTCCATTAAAGTTCCTTTGCTCAATGACACGGACAAGCCAAGATTCCCCAGTAGTTTACCCGTGTGTTGTGTCTGTCCCCCAAGACATGCCGAAAAGAAGCAGCTCGGAACTAATAACACGATAATCTCGATTTGTCTCCACCTATATCAACCATCTCCTATTAAAATACGAGAACCCAGTGTCCCACCCATCGCCTGAGTCCACTTACAAGTTTGTCACTGTCTTTCACTGTTCTCCAGCCGTTTTCCCCACCTCCATGGAGCCACTGTCCCAGTGCCAGGTTACCGGACTACTGCTAGGTGTTACGATGGCCAGGATGAATGACTAGAACAGTGCCAGTGGCAACATGACGTTCTGTCAGCATTTACAAACGTTGATTGGCGGGCCCCCGATAGGTAGACGAAATGAACCAGCGCACTGTTAGTCATCATTAACTATATAAAGCAGTGTTAAATTCCTTCAAGTGTTTGCTTACACGAATGAAATTCCAGATGGCTGACCGGAAGGTCCATAGCTTCAACATCTCGACTGTTCCTGTCTAGGCTTGGGCAACCTGGCAGTGACTCGACCTTCACGCTTCCTGCGGATGGCATGGCAGCTACGCACCGAAAGGGTGTTACAGATGAACCATCATTGTCATCATTAGATGAATGGATTTCAAGAGAGATCTGGTGGATAAAAGCGTTGACTACCATCTGAACTACGGATGAATCTACAATGTTTTGGATATAAACAATACAGTACATGTTTTATTCGAACCGATAACATGTATAGATTTGCATTTCTCCAGGATCTGAATGCGGTGAAAGGTGCACTATTCGATGGACGGACTGAACAGCCCTGATCGACAGAAACTAGGGACCCGCAATTAACCGCAATTTCACAGGGATATCAGCAGTAACGGTAGCACGAATCAGAATCAACAGAATCAACGCCTGCTAGACAATACTGTTATCAGCTTAGTACGTCCCGGTCTTTAGCATCAGACATCCCGATAGCAAACTTGAGATGGCTCGACTACAGCCCCATTAATCGCTCAGCTGTAACACCCTTTCGGTGCCTAGCAGCTATGCCGCTGGAAGGAAGCACGAGGGCTGGGATACTCCCAGGTTGCCCAAGCCTAGACAGAGGAAGTCGAGAGGCAGAGGTTGGGTTCGAAGCACGGACGTTCCAGGCAGTAGATTCGCGCTCTAACCACTTGAGCCATCTAGCCCCAAAGTATATCAACAAAGAACCAAAGGTAATTTGATTTCGACTCCAGCCTCTGAGACGAAGTCCAAAAAGTTGCACGCCTCTGAGAACATCTTAATTAAGACCGTAATTCAGCTCGTCCGGTGATCTCAGGACATTTTCTAAAAGATTCCAAAAAACGTCGGACTTGCAACAAGAGAATATTACGGTTTGATTGCCATCGTTTGCCAATAATAAGCTTGCTTCATTCATCCGCAACACGTAACCTAGAGGGAAAGAAGTACCCACAGGATCCATTAATGTAGCGGCCGCAAGCGGCTCGGAAGAGCGGCTGATATCAGTCAGACCACTGCTGAAAGGGAGAAGGCTTTCGATGCGGAGTTATTCATCGGAAACACCGACTGAACAGTTACAGACCATTGGATAGGGAAGCAAAATCCTCATATGCATCTTGTTTATAAAAACTACGTAGCAGTCTTCTCGAACAGGTCTTTCCGAACTTTTATGGATACTAATTGACTATCACTCACACGTAAAGGAATTCTACAAAGCGATTCCACACATTCCGTAATAAATCGCACTTTTCAATAGATGCGAAGCGGAATTATGAGCAACCCACATACTACTCGCATGCTTCATTAGTAGTATCCACCATCACGCCGGTTGAGCCGGACACAGAGCGGATCTAGCTTACCAAAATAAGGCTGAGAAAGAAGTACACACGTGACACGGGTGGAGCTATCATTAAACTGCAGCGGCGCCAATTACACTGAAACGAAGCAGCAAAATCTTCACAACGAAAAGTAAAGTAGTTGGAAGTTTTGTATGAATAAGATTCGAATCTGGTGGCATAATGGATGAGTTCACAGATTTTGGACGAATCAATAAATGCTTTGGGGAATGATGCAGTTGCAACATAGAGAAAAAGCACGAAAATGCAACGGTTTGTCAGGGTAGATGGCGATGAAGAGCACAGCCGTTTTGAATGACTACCAAGTGAAACGATTCGCAAAAGAAGATTGTTCGAAATGCCAAATGTAGATGTGTGAGAGGCTCTGCCCTCTGCTGATAGATCAGGTTAATGACAATCAGAGGGCTAAAATAAGGTCATCTTGCGGATCATCATCGCTGACAAGCGGGGGTGATAGTACAATAGAAGCGGCCTCATTAGGTTTCAAATCGCCGTTTCGACCGGCAGGAGTGTCAGGCGTAGGCGGGACACGAATGTATTGCGTCCGTAGGTGGGCGGAACGACGAAGTCGCAAGCGTCTCAAACCGTTCTGGAGGGGATAAGAGAAAAATCAACGAGCGATAACAACAAGGTGTGCAAAAAAATTCCCACCTACTGTACATCAACAAAACTAGATGTTGATTTATGTATCGATTTTATGTTGTTTCTCCAATTCCCTCATTAATCGGCGATCACAAATTGTGGTGTTAGGTGTGTCCATGGTTGCTCAATGCCTACGTAGCCTAGCACTTAGCAACATGTTAATTTTTTTTTTACAGGAACGTATCCTTCAGCTCGTGAACTCACTATCCCTAGGTAATACAATCTTAAACTCTACAAGGTCAACGATCCAGAATGAGACGCACATACAGTTGGCTGGTATCCGTTTCCTGTCATATCGAATGGTATAGATGGACCGACGAGCACTTTCCGCCGAGTTGCACGTGGTGTGGTCAACTGGTCCAGTAATCTGACCTAGGCATAGGATTCTAAGACCAAAAGTTGAACAAAGGGGTGCTCAACCGGTCATCCACCAAAATCTACCGTGTATGCAGAGAATGGCCCAGTGACCCGCGCACAGGTCGAAGAACAACACACACTTCCTAGCATTCGACTGACGCTGTGATTATCAATTTGACAAGACCCACTGTGTAGTGGCAACCACATATTCATCCATTCTCAAAAATACTCCACCTTGAAGAGTTGTGTCAACCTGTGTCGTGAAAACACAAAGCGCACTACATCTGATCCATTCTTTCGGGCTTGAAGTCAGCAGCAGTGATTAGCAAACCCTAAGTAGGGCTGGAGGATATAGTAATCGGCAGTACAATAAATCCGAATACACGACCTCGGTAACCATGGGTTGAACTTTACATACTAAACAATTTTTGTAATCTATCGACTAGTAAAGATCGGTCGATATAGCCTGCAATAGCGAAACCCTGCATAGGGAGACGACTTTCTTCACCAACCACAAAATAAAAGTAGACCATTACTGGAAAGGGACAAATCATGAGTTGCGTTTAAACCAAATGCTATTTTGGCAAGGATAACGTTGAACCGTTCCTCGACTTTCGTTAAATTGTCCTTTGAAGCAGCAAAAAGTACCACAGTGAACGATTCCAAATGCGCAGAAGTTCTCCTCCTGTTTAACAACTAGAGACAGGCTAACCAGTTCAAAATCCGCTTTGCAATCCACAGTCTTCGATCTCCAGTTATCTGTTTGAGTGGTGGTGAAAGGAAGAAGGTCTTCGCTGAGAAGTTATTTGTTAGAAAATGCCTACCGACCGGTTACAGACTATTGGACAGGGAAGCAGAACTCTCATTTGCATCTTATTTACAAAAACTGAACATCCATCTTCTCTTCTTGAACTCTCCTGGATATTCATTGACTCCAGTCATTCATTACTCAAATCCAAGCAAATGTCACAAAGCACTCCATGAATTCCGCAACAGATCTCCCCTTTTCAAGAGACGCAGAGCGAAATTCCAAGAACACATACTACTCGCACGCCTCCCATCAGTAGTATCGCCGTTACAGTGGTACAATATGGACATTTTAATTCGAGTTTGATCAAACTGAAACCGTTCAAAGCGATAAGCCAGGTACACGAAACAAATGAGACGTACCGTAAAGCCCGCAGTCACACGATCCAACAATGTTATGTGCGGGATTGAATCATACCAAGAGCGCTTCCTCATTGCCCTTTGGTACAGCATTCCGATTACACAATATAGTACGAGGAGAATGGCGACACTGAAAATAAAGTGTGGTAAAGTTCAGTATTTCAAGTCCATTTTTGATGGAACCGAAAATGGCGTACATTACCACCGTTTCCATACGGTAAATTTGGACAAAATGAGTAAATTTGACAAGAAAGCACCTTAAATATCAGATGTCTTCACAGAACTTGGGTCGCTTCGAAGCGAAATTTCTTCAGTCATCCAGGCGTACTCAATCCTTGTGAAGGGACTACTGCATAACCAAATCTCTACTAGTTTATTACCACTATTATTATGTTTCCTCTATGAACATCCAAAACACTCCCTTTTATTCCTCGCTTCGTTTCTTTTGTCATTCATTTTATTTTGAACATTTGAAGTGCCCAGGAGGCAATCCCGATATGACAGAATTGTGCATATCCAGACCACGGTAGGGGAAAACATAGCAGTGATCGGCGGTATCCCGGGGTCGTGTACGTCTTCTTCCGCTTTTCACTTCTCTCTCTTGGCCACCTGATGAGTACTACTAAACATTAGTTATCAGCAGTAGCCAAAAGCTTCTCTAGGCTCGAGCCGTGTAGCCTGCCTCGCGATTCAGTGTGCTCAGTCTTCAAAGACCTGATAATACCTAAACTCAAACACTTTCTATCGGTTGCAAGGAGTCAAAACGTCTACAGGACGCCAGAAGTAAAGGAGAGCTTCATTCGAACCTGCTGCTCACGTGTCTGTGCCGCGATGGACAGATGTGGAATGTATGTGGTACTGTTGCTGTGCGAACGCAAATCGATTATGCACCAATGAGCACTCAGCAATAACCAGAATGTAAGTGACCATCGACGGGACACAGCGGTTGCCTCGGGGGGCCTGTTCCCCTGTATTTGCCCGTGAATTGAAAGGCGTATTCCAAAGCCAACATCATGTTCAGCCTTAGATTAGGGGTACCGTGGTTGGTGTGAGAACTTTCAACTGATTGCTGTGACTACTGACGTAAGAAATCATTCCGTAAGCAATAAAGCGACTAAAAGCGGTCACTAGAGAGGTGGCCGCCGTCATAATGGAACAACGCTAGACACATCAGGCAGCAAATTTCAGGAAGTATTCGGAGAATCAACATCAAGGCGTCCAAATATAAATTCATCACTGGGCTGCGCTGACCCGACGGGGTCAACATCGTGTCCACACAGAGTATGCTTGCACGACATCGTGGTGATTGTATACCTCATCGACAGCATATCCTTATTCGTAGAACTGACTGGTGGTTGCTGGATGGATCATAGTCAGAAAGCAATTAGGAAGCCACCGTAGAAACTACACTCTATCCAGTGATCGAAAAACCCACACATACTTCCACGCATAGAGCGATCCGGTAGTTTGTGGATAAACATACAAACATCATTCGTGGTGAAAGCTTGTAAGGAAGAGCGTGGAGAAAGAAGGGAGAAGGGAAAACGTAACTCCAGTCAACCTCT